GAGAGAGAGAGAGAGAGAGAGAGAGAGAGAGAGAGAGAGAGAGAGAGTGTGTTCGGTACATACAAGATGTCCGTCGCCTATTTATTTATAGAGCGAGCACACATCGGCACGCATGGTCACATGCTCGCGTGCACGCTACACCGACGAGAACACGAGTGTGTCGGTGACGCAAAACTCGCGCGTCTTTTCCAAAGACGGTGCACGCGAAAAATTCGATCGAGGCTCGAACTTCGATTGGACCGAAGTCGAGGAGCGTTTGATGAACGGATGATACAATCAGCCGCGACTCTCGAGCATAATATCCCCTGTCTTTCGAATAAGCGGTCCATCAGAATGAACAATGAACATCCCCTACGACCGATAGATACCGTTTGGCAACGACGCTTAACGAGGAATAAGTGATCTTAGGCGCGATAGAACCTCCATTGTATCAGTAGATTTGCCCGTTATCCGAACGCACGAGTCTTGGATACTTTGACGCACAGAGAGACCGCGATTCCACGTGGTTATACGTATCCTAGAGAACGCAGCTATAAGCAACAACCGACACTAGTCTGCTTTTCGTAAAGAAATAAATAACACAAAGGAAAATGTAGAGCAGCGTCGAAAACGGCCGCGCGTCGCGCGATCCAAACGCGTTCGCGAAGGTTCGGTGCGTCGATCGGGATGCACCGGGTCATCCCGACGCTGGAATCCTGTAAAATCCGATTGTTTATCCGCTTCAAACTATTCGGGAGAGCAAGACTCGACGTCGAAGCGTCGAGCAAACGGCTGCACCGTGTTCGTCCTAAGAGCTAAATATCGCCCGGCCAGTTGCGTAAGTATCATCGTCTCTTATGAAAGTGTTAGAGGAGAGGACAGGTGCGACTTCGTGCGTGTCGTTCTCGGACATCGCATTTTCGCGATGCCATTACCAGCTCAGTTTTAGACTTCGCTAATCCGGAATAGATCCGGAGACCTCTCGCTTCGCGTTTCTCCAGTGAATCAACGCCACGTGGCCGCTAATTTCCTTCCGCGCACGTAACAAGACGAAAACGACGGACCGATTTTATTTTTAACAGCTCGAAAACAAAGGTGATCAAAGGTGGACACTTTGGATGTTATTTGTTGGATTGTCTAGAATCGGATGCGCTACATCCCGGTGTGCTTCCTTTCTACAGGGAGTTCGGTAACTTGTGGTACGAGCGAAAAGGAGTTGATTCCACGTGCCATTGAATGTGTTTATCAACGTAACTTCAATCGAGACCCTGATCTACATTGAGATCCGTTACAACGGGACACGATCAATGATCGTGCACTCGTACACGGGGAAAATTCGAAGCTGATTTTCTCGAAAACAAAGCCTCGCTAAAAAAAAATGTTTTTTTTTTCTATATTTTCGACTCATTTTTTCACGTAGAATCATCCCTTTTTCGCTTGTACCAGCAGTTAGCGAACACCCTGTATAATAATACCGTCTATTAGGTCAGTCGAAACGAACGAACGGAGGCGAGTGTCTACTTTTAGCATACGCGTCGACGGGGCAGATAATCCGAAAGGGTCCGAAGTAGCCGAAGCCTTCGCTATCCGGCACGCCTTGGCAGCCACCGAGTTTATATTATTGTGGTGCCGGCGTGTATATTTACAGAGAGCCAGGAATTTTTATGATGTTGATCGTTCGTCGCCGCGCACGACCGCCAGTTTTCTTCTTTCGTCGGCTTTGTGAATTAAAATCGGCCACGTGCTAGAGCGCGCGGCCACCAGACCGTCGGCAACGTGGTCTTGAGAACTTTTGCCAATCGGTCCCGACCGATGTCAAACGGGAACGAGAAGATTTCTCATCGACCCTACAACTACGAAGGATCGACGCATACTTATTAGAAGAGGAAAGGTTCCGTGGGTGTCGGCAAACATCGCGTAAAAAGTGAAACAAATTACGCGAAAAAAATGCCGTACGCGTATCGTATCGTGAACGCATCTAGCTCGTAAATATGTATCTCGATAAGATTCGGATTGATTCGTCGAGGAAACCGAACGAACCGTGTCCCGCGTTCCACGATCATCTGGAGAGTGCCTAACCTACCCCATGTCTTGGCAGCCGCGCGTTTTTTTTTTCTCTTTCTCGCAGATGGTGCGCGGTAGGCCTCGCCAATTTTTGCGTCAACCGGGTGTAAACATTCGAAAGCAGGCTGCCAAGGCGTAGTACGGGCCCGTGGCCCCGCGAGCCAGCAACTCTCTGCACGAGCGGAACACCGGCTCGTCGGGGCGACCGAGTTGCCAGGACGCGCGTACGGAAATTACGTGTTTCGCGACTGAGTCAGTGAGTTCGATGAAACCCGAATGAAAGAACAGAGCCGCAACCCGCCAAAGCAGGCTGCCAGTCGCGAGATTCCTGGCAGCCGATCGATCGAGCCGTCGATGACCGGTCGACGGACTTTCCCTCTTTCGTTCCGCAGAAAACCATTCTCGCGAAACGAGCTAACAACCTTTCGACGCACCGCGTCCATTTTCCGCGGTTTATAGGATTTTTCTCGAATTTCCGCATGCTACGAGAACGCGGCGCTCGGAAGCTCTTCCAAGCTTCGAGGTACACGGGATAGGGCAGCTTCGCGACTCCTATTTCCGAGGAGAAACAATGTCTCTCGACTGGAACGGGGCTCTCCCCAGCGAGCACATTCACCGAGAATCCGTTCTAGAATCCCCGATGGGGACTCGGGTTGAATTCATCGAACTCATGGAACGCGAAACGATCGAATACCTTGGACGGTGAACAACATCGACTATTCTTGAAGACGATTCTCGAAGCGGACGCGAGGCTCTGCCAATCGGTGCCGCGATAGTTACAGATCGTACGAGAATGTATCGCGAATATTGGCAATAATCCGATAATTTGGAGCAACGAAAATATGGAAACGACGAGCCAGCGAAGAATAGACGGCGCGAGGAGACTCGGTTCGCGCCAGTCCCGCGCCATGAACAGCAGCCCCGTTGTATGGGGGCCGGTGAGATTGGCAGAGCGTTCCAAGAAACTTTGAATCGAAGCCGAGTGGAGTGGACACTTTGAATGGACGGATTCGCGAGTGAATGAACGCGCGCAGCTCGCTAGCGTACACGGAACCAAGATCGCGACCTGCACGGGTCACCTTGATCGGGCTGAACAGCCGTCGAGGTAACGGCTTCCGATCAAACGGAAAGGATAAGATCGTCACGGGGGATGGAGAGATAGCAGGAACATTTTGTTGCAAAACAATTTTAACGCACAGCAGTCGATCGACTCGCGATAGGGTGCGCGAAAGAGCTGTCGATTCTAGATTAGCGGAAAGACGAATCAAAGCCCTTTAATCGTACGATTATCTTAGTTATCTCTTACCGTGGCTGGTGATAAAATTGGCGAGGTAGAGATCGAGTTCCCGGACGGAGACGTTGATGTGATAGGGGTTGACGCAGAGGCCCGGCTGAGCGCATTCCGCAGTCTTCTCCAGCCGTTCCCCGTCCGTCGACTCCAACGGAATTGCCTTGAAGAGGATCACCATTACCAGGTCCAACCTCCATACCTGCGACACAACGGCCAAACTATATCGTTATTGGCTGCGAGTTCGACTCTCGGCAAGTTGCGAGACCGTCTACCATCGAGCGTGATTTGTAATTTCGACGTTCTCGTTGAAGCGAGAAGAGCGCGCGAGTAGATCGGAAAGGCAATGGTCAGACGTACCTTGTCGGCTTGACGCAGGCAATCGATCCGACGCATTTTACCCTTCTGGTCAGGATTACTTAAGACACACATGGCTGGCCTCTTCCCGGTGATACTCAGTACGAAGTCCTCTCTGTACTCCTGCGTGATATCTTTTCGTAATTTTCCTAGAAGCCGCGAGGCCCATTTCTGTTTCACCTCCAGCTTCTCGTTCTGCAACACGCAATCAATTGTTTCCGTTCGATTACCGTACGACGATTTACGTTTCGATTAGGTTACAAAATGTCAAGTACGACGAACGGGATGGAAAAGTGTCGAGTTTGTCGCGAGCAAAAAGGCAGCTTTCGCGAAAAGGAGGAGTCGAACGTTCGTCCCGACGAAGGAATCGACGCGACACCGCGACTCGTACACGTTACGAAGAACATATTCTCGAGCTTCGCGTATCGATGTCCCGCGGCAGCTGTTGATCCCGGAAAGTTCCTCGAGTTTACGAAACTCGAGCCATGGCTCGACACCAAAGCAACGAGCTATCATCTCAAACTATTCGTCGAAACGATATGCGAGATCACGTCTTCGCGCTGCGCGACACCGTGTCTCCACATGATTCTTCTCCCTGATATCTTGACCTTCCTCGCGCTCTACGTGTCTCGGTAGCGGGCCTCGCGTTTTTAATCAGACCACTCGCGATCGCATCGTCGATGCCGAGCGACGGAAGTGGAGCGACGGAAGTGGAGCGACCCGCTTTCGAAATTTACCATATCGCTGGCGGAAAGATGGCGCGGCTAGCTAGACGCGCAACGCGAATTTCAAACGGCTCGGCGAACTTTAACGTAACTCCTTTCGTCCTAATAGCCTAATCGCGTATCGTCCGAGAGAAACAGGAACGGTTTACCGCGGAAGGTTGACGGGTGTAGGAAATCGGGCACCTCGTTCACGCGCCTCGAGCTCCGAGAATCGCAGCGATTCGCGCGCGTGTCGGTCGACGCGAGGCGTGCAGAAACGCAACGCGCCCGCCTCCTCCTTTTCTCCTTTCCACAAAGTTTCGCGGCTCGCACGTGCGTGGCAGAAAGGGGCTAGGCGGGATAGATCGGCCGCTGCCGCGTCGTCGGTCGATGCATTCCGCGCGCTTTCAATGCATTTCTCAGGGACCTTATGCACCCGTGCATTTGCTATTCCACGCGTGACGAGGGCCGCGGGCGTGCGCTGCATAACCGCCGTCGATGCGCTCTACCGAGGTTGTCGGCGTCGTCGTCGTCGTCGTCGTCGTCGATGTTCTCCACGATTCGACCAACTTCGCGGGATTTCCACGCCTACAGAAAAACAACTGTTCGAGCGTCGGTATTTAACCCTTTCGTAGTTGTCAGGAACGCGCGCACAATGCCGGCCATACACATAGCTACGTGCTACACGCTTGAGAAGTAGTTACTTTGTATACTCGGACTGCCTCGACGCAAACCAGAGATGGCTTTTCCAACCAAGTTGCCTCATCTGCATAACACTTGACACCGGTACTCTTTTCTACCTCACTAATCTCATCCGCGCCAATTTTCCATGCCACCCGCAGCCACCAATTTCTATGGAATTTCTAGGAAGAACCACGTTCGATCACGACGACACGGTCATGGTTAATAGAATCTACGATTCAACAAATATCCTCGGTCGCAAGGTTGACTCCTTCTCGGACTCGACGAGTTTGTTTTGACTTTATCTTTGGCGTGCTAAAATTAGGAGAAAACAGGTACTGGGTTAATCCCGTTGGTACCGGAATAGGCGAACGAGTAAACAAACGCGAATATCGAGGAGTACTCGGTCGAAAGGGTGCAGACAGCTGGAAGAGCAGCGTCGGCGTCGCGTCGCGACGCTTCCCGGTGCACGGGCCTCGCGTACTTGCGATGTACCGCGCGGCCTGGCGTGGCGTGGCGCGATGTCCCCGCGCATTTTTCGCGCACGTGCAAAATTTTAAGCACGTATGTACCGCTCTCTCACGGACAAGAAATGTCACGCAAGACGGCCGCGGTCGACCCCGCTGTGGGAGAGACCCGGTGCAGTTACACCCGGTGCATCCTGCATAAACCCGATCAAGTATGCCGAGTGTGAAGGAGGGCCGCGAGTGTACCAGCCACGTATGTATATCGTGACATGCGTATGTACACCTAGGCGCGGCAGTTTACCTCGTTCACACCGACGATTTCTCGCGATGCTATTCGCGCTCCGACGTGGATACGTACGTGTCGTTCGATCCTGCCGATCCACGACCATTTCCGATCAAAATATTACCAACGTCTTTTTCGTTGATGTTATTTCTATCGCGTTCGCTCTCGAACGTTCTTTTCCAAAGGTAACTACGGATGACGTAAACGAACCGAAAGTGTCTCCCTCCTTTCGTGTTTGACGCGACGGCTCTTGACTGTCTTTCTACGGTTAATCATGTATTCGAGACCGCTACGGAGGCTCTAGGTTTCCTGCAGAGGTCCACGACACGATTCAATAGCTTCTCCGCGCTTGGAACGTTACATGCTTTTCTGTAGTTATTCCGCATGTTGAGCATGCATCGATAGTTCGATCCTCGAGCTGCGTCGAGCGCAAAAGCTTGCTACAATGGTTGCAACCTAAATCTCAAAGTCGATACGTGTACCTTCGAAATCTAGCTGATTTAAACGTAAATTATATAAAAGAAAAAAAAAAGAAAATCAACTCGTAAAACAAAGAGGCACGCAAAGTATGAAGGATAAATCGACGAACGACGAACGTTCGGTTCGTCTGGATCGTCGATTGCCATCGACGAGAGAGAATTTTTCGAGCTCGACGAGTCGGGTATTGAATAAAAGCCGTAAGTTTCTCCGGTAAATAAATCTCGGAAGGCAGTTCATTTTTATGCTTTTTCTTCTGTACGACGTTCACGTACAAGTCGTTCGATCGCCTCCCTCTTTCCAGCCTCGGTCGTAGTAATCGAATTCGTCTCACTTCGCGCCAACGAGCTCTCGTTACATACAGCCAACGAAATTGAACGTAAATACCCGTGGAAAAAGGCACGAAACGATTCCGCGCCGACAATTTGTCGCGCTCGACGTGATTATCCGAAAATAAGCGACCCTCCACTTTGGATTTCCGTTCCAACAGTTGCTTCGCTATTCGATAAGAAGAGACTGGTCTCGAATCGGCCAGCAGCCGAGAGAACGTTCGCCGTGCTTGTTCGTCGAATTATCTTCTAAAACATTATTCCTCGCGTTCGTTCGTACGTTTAAATAATCGAGTTTTTCAAAAGGGTGTTTACGCGACTCTCCGGTACCAGCCGTCGATCGTATCGGTCTGCGTCGACGGCTGGGTACCGAGGCATCTCCGCGAGATAAATTTTCGGGAGACGCCATCCGAACAATATCAGCCTTGAAAGATCCGCGATGGAGGGAGCAGGATTCACAAAAGCGCAGCTATTTCGGGCACGAACGTCCGGGGAATGCAGGGACGACATCGAAACGGAAGTGGCGTGCAGAGTGGCTTAAAAAGGGGGCCACAGTCCGAGTAGACGTAATCCCGAGGAAGCAAGAGGGGACCGCTTCAATCGCAATATCCAGAGAGAAACAAAGCCTCTATCCGAGGAAGTAAGACGAGAAGGTGGAACGAGGTGCTCCGCGGGCCGATTGTTGGAACGCGGAAGAGCATCGATGTGCTACGGCCCGTTTCTATTTCCGTTTTACATTCCGTCGCGAGTCCTTCTTTCCATCCAACCCGCGGCCTCGAGGACCAAGCAATGCGGATAAAGAGGATGAAACAAAGCGAAACAGGTTGCCGCGTTTTCTAAAGAGAAACTTTTCCTCCGCGCTGGGTCCTCCTTGCGTCTCTCCAGGCACCGACGTCAATTGCCGTGGAACCGTCGCTTTGACGTCGTTTTTCTCTCTTTCTTTCCCCTTCCCCCCATTCTTTCATTTTTTTTTTTTTTTTTATTATGTTTCCAGACCAAAGCGAAATTACACGTTTCGAGTAATACTCTTGATTTCCGATTTGCACCCTTACCACCTTCAACGCGACGTAACAGTACCGAAAACGGTCTCCGAAGGAGAGAAAAACACTCGGAGCGAGCGAGCACACCTCTCCGAAACACAGACGCGACAGCTGCCACCGATTTATTTTGGATTTGCCGCGAGCTGCGAATACATGACGCGGTATGACCACGACGCATACCTGCCACGAGGACGAAGAAAGCAACGCGTGCATCGCGCATCGGATTCGCGCGAATCTAGCACGAAGTAGGACTCCCGAAAACGTTTTCGATACATGTACGACGATACATCCGTTACCCCGTTGTACTTTTCATTCGATCGAATATAACGAGTCTCGGATATAAGCAGCGTCTTGTATTCCAAACAATATCCACGCGTTTGCTACGAGATCTCTATAATATTCGTTTCACTCTCTCGCACCCTGTTCATACCCACCCCAATCGTTCCAGCGTTCAACTTCCGTTCCTCCTCCTACACGTCCGCGGTCTACTATAACTGCCACCTGGTGCGCGAAATTCTCTAACCGATACCTCATTTAAACGTGCTGCCAAGGCCCGTATCTTGTTACACTTTTCTTAATGTTCCCATCGAGTCGTCGTTTCTTCGTTATGCATGCTCGATCGATCGATTATTTATCGTTATTGTTCTAGGCTACGCGTACGCGACACCTGAATTTAATGCGCGAGAACTGCAAAGAGTCTCTCCTCTGTGCGATCGAGCCACGCGAAAAGCGGTAACCGCTGTCTCGCGATGTTCGCCAAAGCCGAATATATTATTCCACAATTTTTCCTTCCTCTTTTTGCTTTTTCGCTCGGTCGCCTGTATGGCATTTTAAAATTCTACCCGCACAATTATGCGAGCTCGTACGTGTGCCCACTGCATTAAGCGCATACGCGAATTCGCGTGCACCGAAATTACGTATTACAGGTCCGTTCTTCTCGCGAATGAATTTACCAAACGTACGCGTGTTCCTATACACGGGGTGGTCTGCGTGCGTACACGTTATTTTATTAAATAACGATAGACTGCATTCTTTATTTAGCTTCGAAACGTTATCGATTCCTGCAGTATGATCCACTTCGGACAAGTAAAAGTTAGTTCGAATCTACAAAGGATAAGCGGTACTGTAAAGTTTATTATTTTCGTTAGTAGACGAATCACGAGGACTCGACTCTAAACGGTCGATGGCTTTCGGTCGGTTTCGAATACGCGAAAGAACGTAGCGGTAAGTTAAAGTGCAGCACAGCGCGTCTATCCGGTTCGACAAACCAAAACACGCTCGGTGCCAATCGCGAAACAATTCTCACCCCTGCCAACGATTCAGCCTCTCGAAAACCAAAAGCGTCGAATCAACAACCGCGAGAAAACTCGATCGTGAAAACATCGCCGCGAATCACCCTGTATGAAATCCCCACGTGCATCGTCCAGCGGTAACGCGTCTCTCTGTGTGCGAGCGTGACGACCGTAAATGCACCACCTCCCCGTCCCTCGATCCTCGTCCCACCACCCGAGCGAAAAGGAGGAAGGGAGCTTGACCCCACTCCCAAAATGCTCGGCGTCGACGTCGCTGTTTCCCCACCGACGCTCTTTACCCCTCCCTCCGCTACGAATTTTCACACACGCTCGCGCGCGCACACACCATCCTCCACCCCCACTCTGTCGTCGCAACGAGCACGGTCGCTCACGGAGGCTCACGGGCTATTTTCAAGCGCGGGAAATAAAGCGCAGACCGCATTTTTAGCCTAACGGCCGACGGTCAGCTCGTTTTCGCCTTACCATTCGCGGGGGATGAGCGTCGAGACCGGTTAAGGGGGCATCATCGTATCTCTCGGGTGGTTAATTGGGGTTGCGTAATTGAGCAGCTGCAATCGGGGCGCGGTTTTCTTGCGCTTTTAAGTGGATTTCGAGTACGATGCCTGCGCCCGCGTCTTTGGATGTTTCTACGTTCGTTGCTTTTATGCTTTTTCATCTCAATTGTCTCTGTCAACTTCATTCGGAATGTAAACAACTGCACATGAAGCGATCGATATTCCGTATAAAACCATCGAGTTACCACGATCGGATAATCGAGGCCGTAAACGTGACTAGGACGAATTTTGCGACTCGCCCTACGTAGAAAATATAATCTACTTCTGCCGAGGAAATCCACCCCCAAGGGACGAAACCGCTTTTCAAAGTTCGTCTAATCTTCCCTCGAATCTCATTTCTGTTACACCGAATTTCCCG